ATAGATAGAGTATTTAAATATTATAGGTATCTAGCTAGACTTCTTACCCTATAGTATAGTAATATATAGGTTACTTTTAGTAATTAGCTTATACTTTATAATAGGCTTAAGTAGATAGAATTTTAGTATAAATAAATTTATAAATTTTATATATAATATTAGTAAATTTCTTAATATCTTTCTTAATAGAGTAGATAATAAGATAGCTTAATTTAAATCCTAATATTAAATAGAATCTATAGTTAGCTATAAATAGTAATACTCTTATAGACTTAGAGTAAATAAAGTTAGTAGTAAATTTAATTATTAATAGTTATTTAGATTAATTATCTTGCAGGTATAATATATATACTTATAAGTATTATTTTAAGATAGTATTAATATATTTAGTTTAGCTATTAGTCTTAGGATAATAAATAGTAAATAATAGGTTATAAATCTTTAGGTAGGATATTAAGTATTTCTAGAAAATAATAATAAATTAGACTTTATAATCTAATATAATTATTTTAGAGATATTATAGAGCTTTTAAATATATTTAAGATATAGATTAACTATCTTTTTAGTATTAATTATCCTAGTATAGGGGAGGAAGTATTTTATTTTTATTAAATAATTAATTATAACTAGAATAATATTATAACTATTATTTAATAGTAAGTATATAATAAAGTCTATACTTATATCTTATTAGGTATGTTTAAAAATTAGTAAAGGCCTTAATACTTCTTACTTTATTTTTTAGAAAGAAGTAATTTAATAGTAGAGATAATAATTCTAGACTTATTAATTAATATACTTATAAATCCTAGGCTAGAAGTATTTATATAATATTAATTTATATATTTTAGTTTTTTTAAAATATCTAGTAGTAGGATTTTTATAATAAAGTCTTAATATTTTAGCTTTTATCTTATTATAATTAGGCATATAAAGTTAGTCTTAATATTTTAAATATAGACTAGTATATCTATAATTAGCTAGTATAATATTAGGGTATCTTAATAGACTATTTTTTAGAGTATTTAAAATAGACTAGAGCTTCTTATCTTATAAATAAGCTTTATTAAATAATAGTTATAGTATTAGTAGCAGGGAGATTAATTTATTAGTAGTAGATTATTTAATAAAGTATACTTAATATTAGCTATTAATATTTAGTCTTAAATTAGTAGTAGTCTTAGATAGTAGGTTTTTAGATTTTAGAATAGTCTAGCTCTAGTAAAGAAATTATTTATTCCCCTCTTTAGGCAGGTCCTCTAACCTTTTAATTAGTATATTAGGCTTAGTACCTAACTTCCTAGAGTAGTAATATATTTAAAAGTTAAATCTTAATAAAAATTTAGACTAGCAGGCTTGTTAATAGTTTAGTAGCTTAGTTAATATAAAATACTCTAGATTCTAATAATCTATAATAACCTTTATAGGTAATAAAGTCTCTTCTAGTTTAAAATATTATTTTTTAAAATAATAAATAATAGCTAATAATTCTTTATTATAAATCTTATAATTATATTCTATTATAGAATATTTTTTAGAGAAAAATATAATAAGATATAATATATTTTTATTATTATATTATAATAATACTCTAGTAAATATATAATTAGAGATATTAATTTCTAGAATTATATTTTTTAACTAGTTAAAAGATTTTAGTATTAGGGTATTTATAAAAGTAGCTTTTAATTATTTAAATACTTTTTAATAGGTAGGTATCTAGTTAAAATTAATATTTTTTTTAGTTAGGTTAACTAATAGTCTAATAATTTTTAAAAAATTATAGATAAATTAGTAGTAAAAGTTCCTAAAGCTAATAAAGACTTAAATATTAGTTAAATAGATTAGTATTTCTTATTTAGTAATTATTTTTACTTTATTAGGGTCTATTTAAAAGCTATCTTTATTTATAATTAGTTCTAGGAATTTTATCTTATATATAAAGAATTTATATTTACTAAATTTAGTATAAAGTTTTATTACTTATAAGTATTTTAATACTTATTAGATATAATAAGTATATTTAGTATAAATTTAGCTATAAATTAGAATATTATTTAAATATATAATATAAAAGATATTTAAATAATTATATAGAACTTTATTAATAAATCTCTAGAATAATATTAGGGCTCTAGTAAGCTTAAATAATATTATTAAGAATTTAAATAGGTCTAATTAAATTTAGAAGATAGTAAGATATTTTTATTCTTTTTTAATTTATAGATTATTAAAAGTAAAGATAATATTAATTTTTAAGAAATATCTTATTTCTTTTAGGTTATTTAGTATCTCTTTTATTAATAGTAGTAAGTAATAATCTTTTATAATAATTATATTTAGAGCTTAATAATCTATATAAAATTATAGGCTTTCTCTAGATTTCTTTATAAATAAGATAGAGAATATAGTAAAGAAAAAATTAGAATAAATAAAATCTTTTTTTAGATTCTCTTTAATCTATTTCTTTAGAATTTTTAGTTTATTTTAAGATATGCTATATAAGTTCCTAAAAAATAGGATTTTTCTAAGTAATAATTTAATTTTATAATTATTAGATTAGTAGGGTAGCAGGTACTTAGCCTCCTTTAGTAAGAATATATTATAAAACTTAGTAAATTTAGGGGGTAGTTACTCTTGTAGCTTAGATTTAGTAATAGTAATAAGATTTAGAGTAGCTTTAATATTAGTAATAATAGTAATAAATATCTAGTATTTATAGTAGATATATATAATATAAGTAGTAATTAAGACTCTAATAATATCTTAATTCTTTAGAGATTTAGAATAGAAATTAAGATATTAAAGAGAAGCTTTTAGTAATATATTATATAATATTAAAATTTTTATAAATTTTAAAGATATATTATAGTACTTTCTATAATAAAGATTTTTAAATAAAATAGTATAATTAGTAAATCTAATCTAAGAATTATAGGTCTTTAATTAAAATAAGCTAAGAATAATAAGAAAATATATAAATTAGATTATAAAAAAAATAATATCTTTTTTAATATAGTTATAAATTCTTTAAATTAAATAAATAAAATAAATAATATTACTAGATTTTACTAGAATATTATTAAATCCTCTTAGTAAGATAGAGTTTCTTAATAATAGTATTTTTAATTAATTATTTATAGCCTAATTATAGTCTATAAAATATTTATTTTTAGCTCTAGAATTAATTATAATAAAGATTAGTAGAATCTTATTAAGGATTTCTAGATTAATAAGTAAAATTATTAATTTAGATTAGTAATTTTCCTCCTTTACTATTATTCTAGTTATTATAGCCTTTAATAAGTAGAGGGAGTACTAGGGATATCCCTAATTATAGCTTAGATTAGGGATACTCTATTTTCTAATTTAGGGAATATAGAGTATTTGGTAGGCAGGGTTCTAGTTAATAGGGGGTACAGGTCTAGTTTAATAGTAGATATAAAGATATGGCTGGTTAGTCTTTAATTAGGGTATAGGTAGCTACCTACTAGATAGTTAGTACTACTGCAGCAGTAATATAGGTATTGGATTTAATAATTAAGGTAATAAATAGTAGATAGATCTATTAGGTCTTTAGTAGGAGTAGTAATAATAACAGAATTAATAGAAATTATAGGAATTTAGGTAGTAAGAATTAGCTTTAAAATAAATTAGAAAGGCTAGGAATTCTTTATAGATAGGGATAAGGTAGTATTTATATAATAATAGTAATAATTTTCTAGATTTTATAGATAATTAGTAAAGTTATAGTATTATAATAAGGTTTTAAAGTATATTAATATTTCTTAAAGTTCTTAGCTAATAGCTTATTTTAAAATTATAAATAAAATATTTTTATTTATATTTCCTTCTAATATAAGATATTAGAATTTAATAAAAAAAATATTAAACTTATAATAAATTTATTAGAAATAAAATAAATTAATATAAGTATTAATTTTTAAATTTAGATTTTTAAAAATTTTCTCTAAAATTTTTAAAATCTTAGTATAATTACTTAATTTATAGATTTTATCTTAAATATATAGTAAGATTTAGGTATATAAGGTTCTTTTAAGATAACTAGTTATATAAGTTATTTTACTATTTAAGGTTAGAAAATAATTAAGATTTATAATTATTTTTTAGTAAATTTAAGAAGTAAAGTATCTTAAATTACTTTATTAGCTATTAAACTTATTAGGATTAAGAAGTTATTTAGAGGTTTAAGTAGTAAGAATAAATATAATAAGAGTAATAATAGTAGTAGAGAGAGTAGTAATATTAGTATCTTTTTTAAAAAAAGGTAATAATTAAGAAAATATATTATTTTAAGTAAGTATTTTAAATAACTTTTATTAAATTTTTTTAATTTATATCTTCTAGTACTTAATTATATTATCTTTTTATTAAATATAGTTAAGAAGATTAGTAATAATAAAGTATAAAATAAATAATTTATAAAGTTTTTTTATAATAATAATAAAGAACTAGTATATTTTAATAATATATTATCTTAATTTATTAGAAGTATTATATAAGAAGATTTCTATACTTTTAAATAATATAAATAGTAAGGTAGGTATAATAGTAGTAATTAATTTCTAGTAAAGAGAAGCTATATAATATTAGGGGGTAGAGTTAGATTTAGATATTTATTAACTAGGAGCTAACTAGATAGAATAGTAGAATAGTAGGTATCAGGTAATAAATAGGATGTAGCTTGAAGAGCTATAACAGGATTAAGAATAATATAGCTTAAATATAGGAATAAGGGTGGATAGTCAAGGCAGAATCTAACTAGATAGGTACTACAGCTTCGCGCCGTGACAATATATACTTATAAATATTATTCTAAAATAGTATTAATATATTTAGTTTAATTATTAATTTTAAGATAATAAATAATAAATAGTAAGTTATAAATCTTTAAATAAGATATTAAGTATTTTTAAAAAGTAATAATAAATTAGACTCTATAATCTAATATAATTATTTTAAAAATATTATAAAATTTCTAGATATACTTAAAATATAGATTAGCTATTTTTTTAATATTAATTATCTTAATATAGGAAAGAAAGTACTTTATTTTTATTAAATAATTAATTATAATTAAAATAATATTATAATTATTACTTAATAATAAATATATAATAAAGTCCATACTTATATCTTACTAGATATATTTAAGAATTAATAAAGGTCTTAGTACTTCTTATTTTATTTCTTAGGAAGGAGTAATTTAATAATAAAAATAATAATTCTAGATTTATTAATTAATATACTTATAAATTCTAGGCTAGAAATATTTATATAATATTAATTTATATATTTTAGTTTTTCTAAAATATTTAATAGTAGGATTTTTATAATAAAATCTTAATATTTTAGCTTTTATTTTATTATAATTAGATATATAAAGTTAGTCTTAATATTTTAGATATAAACTAGTATATTTATAGTTAACTAGTATAATATTAGAGTATCTTAGTAGATTATTTTTTAAAATATTTAGAATAAATTAGAGCTTCTTATCTTATAGATAAGCTCTATTAAATAGTAGTTATAATATTAATAATAAAGAGATTAATTTATTAGTAATAGGTTATTTAGTAAAGTATACTTAGTATTAGCTATTAATATTTAGTCTTAGATTAATAGTAATCTTAAGTAATAGATTTTTAGATTTTAAAATAATCTAGCTCTAGTAAAAAAATTATTTATTTCTTTTCTTAAATAAGTTCTCTAATCTTCTAGTTAATATATTAGGCTTAGTACCTAATTTCTTAAGATAGTAATATATTTAGAAATTAAATTTTAATAAAAATTTAAACTAGTAGGCTTATTAATAATTTAATAACTTAATTAATATAAAATACTCTAGATTCTAGTAATTTATAATAATCTTTATAAATAATAAAGTCTCTTTTAATTTAGAATATTATTTTTTAAAATAATAAATAATAATTAATAATTCTTTATTATAAATCTTATAATTATATTTTATTATAAAATATTTCTTAAAGAAAAATATAATAAAATATAATATATTTTTATTATTATATTATAATAATACTCTAATAAATATATAATTAAAGATATTAATTTTTAGAATTATATTTTTTAACTAGTTAAAAGATTTTAATATTAGAATATTTATAAAAATAATTTTTAATTATTTAAATATTTTTTAATAAATAAATATTTAATTAAAGTTAATATCTTTTTTAATTAGATTAACTAATAATCTAATAATTTTTAAAAAATTATAGATAAATTAATAATAAAAGTTTCTAAAGCTAATAAAAGTTTAAATATTAATTAAATAAATTAATATTTCTTATTTAGTAATTATTTTTACTTTATTAAAGTCTATTTAGAAGCTATCTTTATCTATAATTAGTTCTAGAAACTTTATCTTACGCATGAAAAATTTATATTTATTAAATTTAGTATAAAGTCTTATTACTTATAGATATTCTAATATTTATTAGATATAATAAGTATATTTAGTATAGATTTAGTTATAAATTAGAATATTATCTAGATATATAATATAAAAGATATCTAAATAATTATATAAAACTTTATTAATAAATCTCTAGAATAATATTAGAGCTCTAGTAAGTCTAAATAATATTATTAAAGATTTAAATAAGCTTAATTAAATTTAGAAAATAATAAGATATTCTTATTTTTTTTTAATTTATAAATTATTAAAAGTAAAAATAATATTAATTTTTAAAAAATATCTTATTTCTTTTAAGTTATTTAGTATCTCTTTTATTAATAATAATAGATAATAATCTTTTATAATAATTATATTTAGGACTTAATAATCTATATAAAATTATAAGCCTCCTCTAGGTTTCTTTATAAATAAGATAAGAGATATAATAAGAAAGAAATTAAAGTAAATAAAATCTTTTTTTAAATTTTTTTTAATTTATTTCTTTAAAATTTTTAATTTATCTTAGGATATACTATATAAGCTCCTAAAAAGTAAGATTTTTTTAAATAGTAATTTAATTTTATAATTATTAAATTAGTAGAATAGCAGGTACTTAGCCTCCTTTAATAAGAATATATTATAGAACTTAATAAATTTAAGGAGTAGTTACTTTTATAGCTTAGATTTAATAATAATAATAAAATTTAGAGTAGCTTTAATATTAATAATAATAGTAGTAAATATCTAGTATCTATAGCAGGTATATATAGTATAAGTAGTAACTAAAACTTTAGTAATATCTTAGTTTTTTAGAGATTTAGGGTAGAAATTAAGATATTAGGGAGAAGCTTTTAATAATATATTATATAATATTAAAATTTTTATAAATTTTAAAGATATATTATAGTACTTTCTATAATAAAAATTTTTAAATAAAATAATATAATTAGTAAATTTAATTTAAGAATTATAGATTTTTAATTAAAATAAGTTAAAAATAATAAAAAAGTATATAAATTAGATTATAAGAAAAATAATATTCTTTTTAATATAATTATAAATTTTTTAAATTAAATAAATAAAATAAATAATATAATTAGATTTTACTAGAATATTATTAAATTTCTTTAATAAAATAGGATTCCTTAATAATAATATTTCTAATTAATTATTTATAATCTAATTATAATTTATAAAATATTTATTTTTAGCTCTAGAGTTAATTATAATAAAAATTAGTAAAATTTTATTAGAGATTTCTAGATTAATAAATAAAATTATTAATTTAGATTAGTAACTTTTCTTTTCTACTATTATTCTAGCTATTATAGCCTTTAATAAATAAAGAGAATACTAGGAGTATCTCTAATTATAGCTTAAATTAAGGATACTCTATTTTCTAATTTAGGGGATATAAGATATTTAGTAGGCAGGGTTCTAGTTAATAGGGAGTACAGGTCTAGTTTAGTAGTAAATATAGAGATATAGCTGGTTAATCTTTAGTTAAGATATAAGTAGCTACCTACTAGATAATTAGCACCACTATAATAATAATATAGGTATTAGATTTAATAATTAAGGTAATAAGTAGTAGACAAGTCTATTAGGTTTTTAGTAGGAGTAGTAGTAATAATAAGATTAATAGGGATTATAAGAATTTAAGTAATAGGAGTTAGCTTTAAAATAGGTTAGGAAAGCTAGGAATTCTTTATAAATAGGGGTAGGATAGTACTTATATAATAATAGTAGTAATTTTCTAGATTTTATAAGTAATTAGTAAAGTTATAATATTATAATAAGATTTTAAAGTATATTAATATTTTTTAAAATTTTTAATTAATAACTTATTTTAAAATTATAAATAAAATATTTTTATTTATATTTCCTTTTAATATAAGGTATTAGAATTTAATAAAAAAAATATTAAATTTATAATAAATTTATTAAAAGTAAAATAAATTAATATAAATATTAATTTTTAAATTTAGATTTTTAAAAATTTTTTCTAAGATTTTTAAAATCTTAATATAATTATTTAATTTATAAATTTTATTTTAAATATATAATAAGATTTAGATATATAAGGTTTTTTTAAAATAACTAGTTATATAAATTATTTTATTATTTAAGGTTAGAAAATAATTAAGATTTATAATTATTTTTTAATAAATTTAAGAAATAAAGTATCTTAAGTTACTTTATTAGTTATTAAATTTATTAAGATTAGGAAGTTATTTAAAGATTTAGATAATAAGAATAAATATAATAAAAATAATAATAATAATAGAAAAAATAGTAATATTAATATCTCTTTTAAAAGAAGATAATAATTAAGAAAATATATTATTTTAAATAAGTACTTTAAATAGCTTTTATTAGGTTTTTTTAGCTTATATTTTCTAGTACTTAATTATATTATCTTTTTATTAAATATAGTTAAGAAGGTTAGTAATAATAGAATATAAGATAGATAATTTATAAAGTTCTTCTATAGTAATAATAAAGAACTAGTATATCTTAATAATATACTATCTTAATTTATTAGGAGTATTATATAAGAGAGTTTCTATATTTTTAGGTAGTATAAGTAGTAAGGTAGGTATAATAGTAATAATTAATTCCTAGTAAAGAGAAATTATATAATATTAGGAGATAAAGTTAGATTTAGATATTTATTAATTAGGAGCTAACTAGATAGAATAGTAGATTAGTAAGTATTAAGTAATAGATAGGATATAGCTTGAAGAGCTATAATAGGATTAAGAATAATATGGCTTAAATATAGGAATAAGGGTAGACAGCTAAGGCAGAATCTAACTAGATAGGTACTACGGCTTCGCGCCGTGACATATAGATACTAGATATTTATTATTATTATTATTAATATTAAAGCTACTTTAAACTCTATTACTATTACTAAATTTAAGCTATAAGAGTAACTACTCTCTAAGTTTACTAAATTTTATAATATATTCTTATTAAAGGAGGCTAAGTACCTACTATTCTACTAATCTAATAATTATAAGATTAAATTATTATCTAGAAAAACCCTATTTTTTAGAAGCCTATATAACATGTCCTAAGATAAATTAAAAATTTTAAAGAAATAGATTAAAAAGAACTTAAGAAAAGATTTTATTTATTCTAGTTTTTTTTTTATTATATTTCCTATCCTATTTATAAAGAAATCTAGAAGAGGCTTATAATTTTATATAGATTATTAAGCTCTAAATATAATTATTATAAAAGATTATTACTTATTACTACTAATAAAAAAGATATTAAATAATTTAAAAGAAATAAGATATTTCTTAAAAATTAATATTATCTTTACTTTTAATAATCTATAAATTAAGAAAGAATAAGAATATTTTATTATTTTCTAAACTTAATTAAGCCTATTTAAATCCTTAATAATATTATTTAGGCTTACTAGAGCCCTAATATTATTTTAGAAATTTATTAATAAAACTTTATATAATTATCTAGATATCTTCTATATTATATATCTAAATAATATTCTAATTTATAGTTAAATCTATATTAAATATATTTATTATATCTAATAAATATTAGAATACTTATAAATAATAGAACTTTATATTAAATTTAGTAAATATAAATTCTTTATATATAAGATAAAGTTCCTAGAACTAATTATAGATAAAAATAGCTTTTAAATAAATCTTAATAAAGTAAAAATAATTATTAAGTAAAAAATA